CTGAATCCTAAAAGCTGAGATGATTACGTAAACGATTATAAACCTACCTTAGACTTCAATTTTTTTAACATAAGACATTAAATTCATGTTTTAAGCATGACCTTGGGATTGTGTTTTTCCCAATTGTTTCATCTCAGGCTTATAATATTCTTATAGACCTTCAAACTCTCACATCTAGACTTTTATCTGAAACAGACCAAGGTGTGCCTTCTTCTCAAAATTTATGAATTTGTGTCTGGTCTATATGGAGTAACTACCTGCATGACATATTATGTGTGTTGCATGGAGGTTGGATTCTATTCATAGTGGTTATGATTATACTAATTTTATTCAGGTTCTGAAAATTCATCAGTATAACATAACATAAGTCCTATTAAAATAATGCTTCCCAAGTAAAGATAGGTACCGTATATACACTTCAAAATACTGTAAATAAATTTCTATATAAATTTCAGGTCAACATTATTCTATTTAATTGATGTCCGCTAGATTAACCCAACTGTTGCAGTTTTTATAATTCATTCTTTGTTTGTTTTAATCTTAGTTTAAAGCAGGAGGGTCATGACCTATGCACGGGGGAAATGAGTCAATAAATTGTTTGTAAACAATGACACGCTATGGCCATCTGACGCATGCGCAGGTGACAACTTCCCCTGCTTTAATTCAAAATATCCGTGACTGATCCGTTGTAATGAGTATCCATTTTCATTTATTATTCACGATATGGTATGAAATGTCTCCAAAAGAATAGATCATATCAAAAGCTGCCTCGTCTTTGATTGGCAGCTTACAAGTCATGCTACTACTTATACTTACCCCTGAGAATACACTGTTTTAGAAATCAACAGAAACATTATCCTTCTTTGCTGTTACACTATTTGGTTTACTTCATGTGCTGTTTGAGCACACACAAACTGATAACATTTCTGCGCATATGCAATATTTAGTACAAAATATTAGTGATATTTCACTACTAAAGATACGCAACATGGTTATGTGAAAATGAACAAAAATAATCGTCTAGGTGAATGTGTGTTAAAGTTCTAGATTTAAAATTTTTTTTTTTTACTTATTTCAGGATTTAGCCTTTTTTATTCCATTTAAAGAAAAGAAAAATATGCATATCACCGATTATATATAGTACCATAACTTAATTAGACAATTACTTTTTTACTTGTCTGCAATTTATCAAAAGTAATTTTTCCTATTTTGAAAAGTACTTTATAGTCATATTATTGACAGCCGGTGGTATCAAATTTGACAAAATTAATGTGGCAAACAAAACTAAGGTTATCAATGAGCATGTTGCTGCCTTGGCTCATCTTACGTCAGTATTTACAATTTCTGAAAGTGGACAACACTTTTGATTACAGTTTTGTTCAATTTCAATAATTCTATGCAGAAACATCAAATGTGAACATCAAAAGGTTCATCTTTAAGATTATGAATTGTTCATTTCTGTCTTTGGTATTTTTTCTGTAAGAAAGAATATTTAATAAAGTTTTTTACATTTTGGGTAATTTTATTTTAGGTAGAAGCCTACTCATAAATTAAAATACCCATAATGTAATTAATTTCTCAATAAATTGTACTCCAAGGCAATATAAGAATATTGACTAAAAAAAGTTGGGGGTCACCAGCCTTATTTTCGAGAAATTTATTGTTGTTGTATTTGGTTGTATTTTAGTGGAAAGTTGCTATTTTGGTACTATTATAACACTTTTACCATAGGTTCTTATAGCAGAGATATTATGCAATATCTCAAAATCTAGCCTGGTGACATAGGCTGAAAAAATCATATACTGTTAATGATGGACTTTTTGTTGTTCAGAATTATTTAAAAATCTGTCTTTTAAAAAGTGCAGTATTTCTTTAACATTGTGTTCTATGGAATTGTTCTGAAAATAACGATTTTCAAGAAATATTAGGAAATGTTTCTCAAAAAGGTTAACTGTAACACACAAAATAATGCTATTTCATTATATCATGGGACATTAGCTTTATGATTGTACATAATAAACTGATGAACATTTTCATGCAATTTATGACCAATTTTTATGAGTCTGATTCCAGCTCAGGTGCGAGAAAACAATTAGAAACCAAAAAACGCCCACAATAAATAAATAAATAAATAAATAAATAAATAAATAAATAAATAAATAAAGCTTATTATAATTTTTAACTGGGCTGCTGTACATTGCATTTCAGAACAGCTGTAAACAGTTGATACATTAACATAAATGCTACCCATATGCAAATGAGCTGCCACACTTGAGAATCAAAATTCCAAGGAGAAATCACTTACGTACACTGTTCTAAAACAGTATTCCATTGCAATATGTATTATTTCTGCCATTGTTTTTATACTATCAGCAGTAACTTGGAACTAAATACAGTGAAAATATTATCGAATTCCAGTGTCGATACTGCTCTGCAACTGTGTCAATATTTTACAATTAAATAATTTATTAACATTGCATTGCAAGTTAATATATGGGCAATTGATGTGTAGTGGATTTCTTAATTACGCACAATAAATGAAATGTTTTCTTAATTTGTATTGAAATATTATGTGTGAAAAGTGAATGTGTGAATCACATGTGCCTTATTAATTGCTGACGACTTTCAAAAGTACATTGTGTGTGATCATCAAATAAATAATGAATTTTACAAATAATGAAATATTTAATGTATTGCATGTAATGAATATTGTTGTGTTGTATTGTAATTGTTACAAGAGTAATTTGCAATGACTGGTTTATTTATTAATTGGAATAATAAACTGCAAATGAAATGAAACTACTGATGTACATGTATCTTTGTGTTTAATCATTCAGTTCTGTGTCAAGTAATTAAATATCTACCCCGGAATATTTATCTCCTAGGTTTGTACATTATATGAGGTGTATGTTCAGCTTGTCAGTTCCGTAGATCGTGTGTTTGAATCCTGTGATTTAAGTATGTTGTAATATGCGTCTGTTTACATGTACGCTTTATTAAGGAGCGGTATACATGTATATGTATGTGCGTGTCATTGACCCTTTCAATTAAATTACTTCCTAATGATATACAGCAATTTCAGCTAATTTGACAATATTTTTATGCGAAAAAATAGAGATCAATTTAGTATTTTCTGTGGAAATCAAGGTTATAAATAGTGCGCATGACATTAACTTGACGCGTCTGCGAATGCGCAGGTCAAAAGACAATGATTATAAATAAAAACATCAACGTCATTGTGTCAAAGATTTTTTTTTTACATATGATTAATTTTCTTTTAAATATATTCATGCGTCTCTCGTCTGTTTCTATAGCTATTTTATACTTGTTTGAGCCCACGTGACTTCCGATGTGAGCGAGGAATATAACCATGATTTTCTCCAAAAGAAATAAGCTGATCCCAATTTTTCCTACACAAATTATGCTATATATAAACTTTTGTGTAAATTATAGATATTTCAATTTGTACGTGAAACGTACCATACGCTGTCTCGTTCTAACTTCAATATATTAACATGTAGGAAATCTTTGACAGGTTTGACTTTGGCACATTATATATTTATGTGTATTGTCACTGTATCTATATATATATATTACTGATTGATAATCTTTTCTCATTATTATTCAAATCATTATTATTCAGAGATGTAAATTATATATCTCTGAAAATTCGTCCTTTTCGAAATATTTATTGAAGTGCTTATATGTTTTGATATTTTATTTGTTGCGATTTTTTGTTGGACACGACCAGTTAAATTGTAGACAATTTTAAAAGTTGCATAGATTCTCGAGATTTTGCTTAGGGGTTGGTTTCATCTAAAACAAGTCGAGTAAAATCTGACAGTGGAGGTACTAGGGTTAATATTGATAAGTTATTGGTTTTGAACAGTTAAAGTCTTAAAAAATGAAAAATGAATAACCTGCTTTGTGTTAATGTAATTAACTATGGGATTCGCATCTGGAAATTCGATATTATTCTTATTATTATTATTTATTATTAGTTTTATTTGTAAGTTTGCCATAATAACCGATTCATTCCTGATTATACGAGCATGAAACACACCATCAAACGTCGTTATTCAAATATTAAACATGAATTATCGTGTTTCGCCAACATTATATTGTGTCATAAATATGTCGGTAATCGTTTAAGGGAACATTCCATTTTACTCGTGGCCGATGAGTTGCCCCGGTAACGCGGTGTTGTCGTACAATAACGGTCATGATCTAGCAAACTATTCAGAACACATTTAGTGAACACTCTTGAAAACCCCTTAAAAAAACAAATATGTCACTATTTCTTGTGGTGACAGTACACGATACATCGCAATGACAACCTTATGACTTCATTATTCATGTATTTGGAAATGGTGTAATTCCTGTGGAGGTAGAAGTCATTGTTAAATTTTGAGAGATGCTTCGAACACAATTTGTGGTATATGCGTATTTCCGATATTAACCTGCTCACGTGCTCAGTTGTTTACTGCGGGTACAATTACTATTAACTCTTTGAGTCGATTATAAACAACGTTATTTATAGAAATAGATCACGTTCTGGCCTTCAATCTCGTGCGGGTTGGGACAAACCTGCATTTTTGTAACCAATACAATCGCTTTCGTTTTCCGTAATTATCGTCAGTGCTCTCAAGTGAATAGGAACGCGTGTCAACATTTATGACGTATTCATCATTTTTTCAAACAAATATTATACACTGGTGCGGTGGTGAGTACCTTCATGTTACAAAACAGCGACATACGTACGTCTACGGTGCGTGTTATTGGACCAGGTGTACATAGTCCAGCGGGCTAGGCGGACATACATATACTGTTTCCCTCCATTTGAGTAATTATACTGCTATATTCATCATACCTACATACGTGTTACGTGTGTAATTGTAAGTTTTCGAGATATTTGAACCGTGCTAGTACAACTGTAGTGTTCCAAGAACATTTAATTCCATCAATTAATGAATGTTTAATTCATATCTATTCACAATAGGACCATGACAATGAAGAGACCAGTTAAATTTGTGATAGCAGGTATACTAGTGTACGTTATAGTGAGTCTTATCGTTGCTACTAAATACGTACATTTTGAACTGTTTTCCCGATTCCAAAATTCAAGTCGATTGATGGTTAGTTCAAACACACAATCCGTAAGTATGCCATATTTATATATGATTTTACATTACCGAAGTCAACGACATAAATGACCCCTATATTTAAATGGGTTACGTATTATATCTTCTGTTAATAATAACGCCAGTTAACCTCTTCACCTAATTATAAAACGCACCAAATCTCGAATTACTCTTTTGGATTTACAAACCGTCTTGATGTTCACCGGTCTAATTGACTCATGATGGTGCTAAGTGGTACCAGCAAAGGAAGCAAAGGTTCGGTGGTGTCATTAGAAAGGTATTTATGCGTGAAACAGTGCCAATTGTTCAGCGCAACACTAATTAATGAGGGTAAATGTCAAAGGTATTTTACATTTTGCACCCCAACTTTATTCAGTTCTGATATATAGTCTAGAGCCACTTCTAGACTATGTTGATGGATGGTAGAGGCAATTGGGGTAAAAGTTGGGAACCAGAATTTTTACCATAACTTGGGTATTAATATATATGCTGAATAAAATAAAAACCTGGTTCCGAAACCATATTTTGAATTTGTCTAATTTGCATAATCAAAATGATCGCCAAATCTCCATTTTTTTGCATTATTTCCGCGACTAGAATATCGAATACGACAAATGAAATGTCCCTACCCATGTTGTCAGGGTATTAATACATTCCTAATGGAATTACATTTAAATAATCTTCACAAATATGCAAATTATCGACCCCACAACACAAATTCTTTATTTTAATGTGCTAGACAAAGTAAGAATAAACATAGAAAATGCAGTGGGAAGAATGTTTCGCATAAGCAGATTGACTATACTACTTGCCATTTGACCCTTGATAATTAAAATTAAGCTGAGCAATTGAAACTGCTTTCATCCATTTCCAAAAAGTACATATCAGAGCCTTTTCAATGATACCTTTGCCAAGTCAGGTGGTATCAAATCACTAATCGGGTCCTGGTCCATGAACTAATTATCAGATTCTACCGATGCTATAAAATATGACGTCGTCCAATATCATAACTTAAAGCGGGAGAGTCGTCACCCGCACAGGCGTCAGATGGCCATAGTGCCTCATTGTTTACAAGCTAGCGTTTACCCATGAGCCTTTGCGTTTTAGCGTGTGTTGTTATCGTCGCTTGCGTAGCGTGCGCAGGTGACGACCCTCCCGCTTTAAGTAAGTTCCAGGGTAACGCCACGCGAGTGCGAATTTCAGCTACCGTAAACCCACTAATCTACAAAAGCAAATAAATCTTTTATTTTCAGAAATATTTCAATAATGAAACAAAATACTCTAGAACTCGTTATATCCTGCCAATATTACCGTGGACCCTCGGGTTGTCATCGCTATATAACGGGTACTCACGGTCACTGATGTTTGCGATGCAAGAACAGCGTACTATTGCCAACGTTCCTTTTCACAACCATGGCCAAACACAGGAAGGAGGTCTTCGTGTGCAGAGATCCTTTGAGGAAACGTTTGATGTGAAAGAACTTGAGAAACTTTTACCGATCGTCAATCTCAGTGAATACATAAAGCACTGTGGAGTGGTACTGCCTGCCCAGAATATCCTCATCCCAGACACCAGCATTATACGGACGAAAAATACAAATGTGAACACAACTTTGGAAAACTATTACAAGCTGAGGTCATTGGACACAGATTATTTAATTATAATTTACCAAAACACGCGTCATCTCTACAAAAAATTTCTGGGCATTCAGCTGCCCGCAATCACTGATTTCGTCACAGACGACTTCAATCGCACCGCCGATTGCATTGGTGTATTTCCAACCAGAGATCTAACATTTTCCAACGAAGAAGAGTTGGGACGAAGAATTATCAAACATTGGCAACCAGCTGCATATGTACGTGAGATGGCTAATGATGTATTTGGAACACTGTGTGGTGGTAAATACGTTGCAGTGCATTGGAGAAATAAAACAGGTGAAAGGTAAGGTGGGAAATTAATAAAATTAAAAATTAAAACTGATATCTCAATAACAATAATGATCTTTCTACAGTGCCACTTTGGACTGGGAGTCGCATAATTTTGCATACCAGTCAACTTCTCGTCGTATGTGGACCTGAGGGGAGATCGTTGTTATGACAATAAAGCAGGCTTTGCAAACGAAATCAAATTGTAAAATGTTTCCTCTGTCATCTATGTATGCATTTTCATTGGATTTTAATAACTGTGTGTTTGTGATAGGTTTTCACAGGCCGCCAAACTCGAATATTCCACATGAAGTGGATTTGCCCTGCAATTGACCTTAATAGTGAATGATGCAAATTAGTGCGACCAGTTCATTGTCAAGCATTTGTTTCGACATGGAAAACACCTTTCACAATATGGATAACGCAATGATGGCATCATATTGACCGTATTATGGCGTAAAACGATGAAAAAATACTACTATGGAGTTAACTGTTCCATTTCTGTTTATTCTATGTCTGTGTTATCGTTTGATGTAGACACTCTGCCCACACATATGGAGTTAACTGATCCATTTCTGTTTATTCTATGTTTGTGTTATCGTTTGATGTAGACACTCTGCCCACACATATGGAGTTAACTGATCCATTTCTGTTTATTCTATGTCTGTGTTATCGTTTAATGTAGACACTATGCCCACACATATCTAACCAGTATAGAATACACCAATCAATGTTATTTGTGCTTCAATTAAGATAAATTATTCGTTCTGTTCGTGCATTATTGTAAGATAATTGTCACTGTCTTATGAGATCAGTAACAAGCTGAAGGCAATTTTGTTCTGACTTTCTATTGTCACAACAGTCATATTTACATACTAATCTGACGTCAGTCACATATATTCTGTCCTCTTCAACATAAATAAACGGTGTAGCCAAATGAGACAAGAAACTTTATTTTGTGCAAGCAATATTAGTTCATGATTATTTCCAATGTGTTCATTTTATATAAACCCCAATTAATCCATTATTCATTTTAGATAGATTCCAATTAATCCATTATTCATTTTAGATAGATTCCAATTAATCCATTATTCATTTGAGATAGATCCCAATTAAACCACTGTTCATTTTAGATACCCCCCCCCCAATTATCTCATTGTTCGTTTCAGATGCACCCCAATTAATCCAAACGGGAAATGTGCATTGAACGCTCAACGTGAGTTAATCATATTATCAAGAGCGACCCCCGACATTGTAGACGGAGTTATTGAGACAGTCAGGTCACATCAACTACGATGTATTTATGTGGCTTCACCGCCATATGAGCAGGTGAGTAATTATTTTCGTTTTTATCACCCATAAATAACATTGTTTATTTGACTTACCAATATACTAGCGCCTGCTGTCGATACAATATAATTTGGCCAGGGAAGTTGTTACGGGCTTGCGATTGTATTATTGGCCCTTTGTCTCTTCATTCCTGTGTACTGTTTTTGATAATCACAAAGACAACATCAATTCTGATTTAAAATACAGATATTGCCCTGTCTGTTTTGGGTCTATCGATGATAAATAAATTGGACGTATGCCAGATGTAAAGGTTTTGCGGTGAAAACGATAATGGCGTACGAAATTGACTTAACCAACTTCCGTAGTCGACCATTATACCAGCCAGTTGTTCCATTTACTAATTCCCTAACATACGAATGAACCTGATCATGACAAGTTACGAGCAGGTGTAGATTATCCAGGGGTCATCAGTGAATGTCGCTATGACTACAAAAAACGGCCTCAGCTAAACACATGTAAATATATATCATGACACAACCATAATACAGTGAGACTAGTGCTACATTCAACAAACTTTCTTCTTATCTCAATAATTACGATTAACCCCAAGTGATGTTATTGACCACACTATTCGCTCTCGGCTATTACCAGTCTGATATAGGAAAATAGTGTATAGTTTTGTTTTTTATTTTGATAAAATATTAGTTTGATATTCATTCCTTTTGATGTCATTTTCTTAGTTATACGAATGACAACAAACACCATTATGTAATTTTATTAATTTTTCATATTGACGTTCGATTTGGACAAACACATGTTTTAATGATTATTTGACATAATTTGATGTCACAGATTATAAATGTTGATTTCAGTTTTAAGATGTTATTTCTATATTCATAGTTGTTCGTATCAAGTCTCAAACAGAAAGACCTTGTGGTATTTACCGTCATGGATCTCATCGGTATGTCGAAAAAGGTTGCCAAATACAAAAATGACAATTACGTATTGTCATTACTGGAGCAACTAATTGCTGAATGTAAGTTACTTTTTATTAATATATTAGGCATACATTTATAATTTCAAACCGCTTATTTCGCTGATAGCTAATTACATTATTTTAATCCCATTGGATATTCAAATTTGACAGATAAATATAATGTACTGTTTCATTTTCAAAGCATTTAATTTAAAACCCGGTGAATATTTTGCAACATCAAATCCAAAAAAGTAAAACCAGTGAATTTTATTTCCTGTTACATGTCGTTTGCTTTTAATGTTACAGACGCCGAGGTGTTTATTAGTAGTCGGACATCAAATTGGTCGTTTTACGTCGAATATCGAAGAGATTTGCAAAAGAAAATTACGGTGGCACTTCATGAAATAGGGGGCAGTTCGCTTGCATTCACTCCTGAGCTTAAAAATTTGCTTTAATATAACGGAGTGGCCAACACTTAAATAGCTTTTAAGGAAATATGTCGCTATTTGAAGCTTTGCATCTATGCAAGGACAGCAACAGTTACGATAAGAATTCAAAGAGGTTGGACAAAACGATACTTAATCAATTCTTGAGCAACATATAACCATCGTGCTGAATAACAGAACGTGGTGGTATCATGTATACATGTCACACAGATCTTCTATTAACTCGAGATGATATTCGATAGGGGATATGTGATGCAAGGATGGATGATGAGCCATACCTAAAAAGTAAGCATGATCATCAATATAATAATATCAATTTTTTATTATCTTATCAGAGCCTTTATATTTTGCAGTATGTTTTTGACTATTTTTTAAGCTTAGAAATTACAGTGTGTGTGTCCTCTGCTTAAGATGTATCAGCGATACATAAAACAACATCAATGTTTTTTTCAATTTATTTGTCTTGTAACGTATTATGTAGAATATTTAATGTATAATAGTCGTATGGTGCTTACTATTAATATAAGTTATGATAATAGGTAGTGATTTTCACAGAGGATTTTTTTCTCAGCCGATTTCTCTGTATGCACATGAGAAACATATTACAGTTCCAAATATGCAATTATGGGCGCCATTTTAGATTTATATAAATACCAAATCATACATGATATGAGTCCGACATTTTTTCAAAAATAAAATGAAGTCTTTAAGAAACTATGGTGGCCATCTTGATTTTATGAAAATGAAGTGTATGTATTCAAATAAGGAATGTTTAAATGATTAGATGATTTATTTAAGAAACATTGAAGTATCTTTAAACAAAAATGTTGGCATTTAAATCACAACAAAATGTTATTTAGAGGTGGTGACCGTTTTATAGCATCATGCAGATTCATCAAGTGTGGTCTAACGGAACACAATCGATCAGAAAAATATGTATAGACTTCAAAATCCATGATGGTCACATTGTCTGCGATACTAGACTTGACTCTAAGTCTGACACTTCAGACATTATTTTGTTACGAAAAAATTCTGGCGAGAAAATGTGCAAAATAATATGAAACATATGTTGTTAACCATTCTCATGGAGTGAGCAGTACCAGTTGACAAATGTAACTTTACACACTAGCAGATTATTAAAGGGGGAGGGTCGTCACCTGCGCACGCGCGGGAATTGAATCCCAAGCGACGATAACAACACACGCTAAAATACAAAGGCTCATGGCTAGACGCTTGTTTGTAAACAATGACACGGTATGGCCATCTGACGCATGCGCAGGTGACGACTCAGGTTCAGGTTTAACCAAATAAACGTGACTTTGTCAAATACACCACTTTTAAAATATTCTATCGAATGAATTCAGAAGGATCCAATAACGCAGTCTACATAATCCCTGTATGAATATTCTAAATAAAAACGGCAGCTCAAAACATGCTTTCTTGATTAAAAAGATTGTTTTATATAATTATGTGTCCATGTGGTGGTAATTATACATAATTGATTGCCGATGTCATTACACACAACACTGGTAAATATAGAAAACACGATTTAATTTGGAAGTATACACTAACTATGTAATTGTATCTACACTTATATAGTCTTAGCAACTTATAAGTACAGCTGGAAATCGAGACACGTGGTGAATTAAGTACATCGTGGCCAAATGAACTTTGATATAATTCCGCAGTGGTTGTAGTTCCAATGATCAAATATGAGCATTCTCACAAGTGATTTAAACATTGTTATCGAAAACTGTTCATTTCGAAACACTTCAGAAAGCAAAATCATAAACGATGTTTCAACCCAAAATACCAGACTATAAATGTTAATGTATTTGTGTTCACTAAAACGTTTTCCTTGTTTTATCTTGAAGCACTTCCTAGAAAACACAAATGTAATGTTTCATTGTACAACTTCCGGCTATGCATGTTTTATGAATGTTTTATGTATATGTTTATGTATATGTTTATGTATATGTACATGTACACAAGTTCATAAGAGTAACTGAAACACTTTCTTCCAGACTGTTTTATTTTTAAAGTACTTCAGAAAACAAACATACATGCAATGTTTCAAGGCGAACCACCCGACTATGAATGTTTCATGAGTGTCTATTTATACGATATGTACACAAGTTCATAAGAGTAACTAAAACAACTTTCTTCCAAACTATATTTTAGATACTTCAGCCGACTATACAAGTGCTAATATACTAGATTTGTTTGTATGCCGTCTATGATATTCATCTAGAATCTAAACAATTCTCATCATTGAATTTATGCAGCATTTATTAGAAAAGTATGCTCGTACACATCACCATTGTCAGTAGACATACAATCCATGTAGCGATAAATTTATTGATTTTAGTATTGTCAATAGTACACAATTTTATATATTCGTATATTTCGCGAGTGTGCTTACCATGTACCTGTTTCAAGTTTAATAACCGATGAAATTAAACATGCACGGTGATATCACATAATCATTAGATTAATTTTCTTCATAACCATTATTCTAATATGGTGATTACTACACACCTGTTCAAATTTGCGTATAATTTAAAAAAGCTCCTCTAAGTGTCTAATAATACATAATCATTCAACTGTTATTTAGAAATTTCATTAATACAATAAATACAATATGAAAACAAATATTGAACACTTTAAGAGTTTACAAGCTTATAAAAACTTCAAAACTTTTACCACAAAACATTAAAAAAAATATTATAATGAAAAACGTATAGTACTTGCGACAACAATACTTACTTACCTTGTAAATACATACGATTTTTTCATTGTATGTACTGAATAAAATTTTGAGATAAAATCACTATTTCAGGATATTGAGTTGGCGCATCGCACACACTACGTACATGCATATCTTAATGAGGAAAGTGAGTGAGACTAATATCATGCAAATTAGCTTAATATTTTATAATTACACAGTGGTAATTAGTAATAGGATATTAACTATTAAACAGTGATGTTCGTGTAACCCCCCAAAAAACACTAACAATGAAGGTACGAGCGTTGATCAGTTATTACTTTTAAACATTTGAATTCTCGGAAAAAACGAAATATGAAGCATCGGTGTATTTTAATTGGTTTGAATAATTTACAATGACAATGCTAGGTAATGTGGCATGTTTTTTGGATTGCAGTTATTCTATATCGTATGGTATGACATATTACCGAACCCCGAGTGAGCATTTGCGGGAAATATTTAAATAGGTTTGTGGGCGGGGAGAATTTTTCGAGATTTTTGGTTCGGTAATTGTTTTTTTTATTTATGTAGTAGGCAGTTTACTAAATTATTAACACATTGAGTTCAGTTTTAACTTGATCCAAATAAACGGGATTTTGATAAATGCACCGCTTTTGAAATATAGTATCGCATGAATTCATCAGGCTCCAATAACGCAGGTTAAAACGTGCAACCGATTGTTGTATATAAATATGTGTGCATGTGGTGGTAATTATACATAATTAATTTTATGCCACCCTCACTTGTAAATATAGAAAACATTATTCATTTTAGAGGTATACACTCACTATGTAATAGGTCATTTGTATTTATAAATCGTCTCATAATAAAACAACTAAAAATAGTAAGTATACGAAACGTATTTTTATCATCAATTATAATGATACACCATGTACGTCAAGTGTAATGCCACCACATTTTCCCGGGTATTTCAAACCCACAATTTAGTCAGTGAACTGATTAATAGGGCAATGTGTTATAATTATAGTTACATTTATTTACATGGCTGTGATATGTTGGGTCGATATGTATAGGTGTGTACAATGTCGTTGTATTCATATTTTACTTGTAAGAATTGTCAATTGACTTTATATTGTGGTACTTTCACAATATGCTGTAGTGTTTACGACTGCGTTAATTGCAATCACTAGTTTAGCTGTTATTACAAATGTTTACGTCGAGAAGCATTGATTGTACATTTCATTGATAACATACACACACAAATAAATAAATATGCAAATACTACTATATATTAGCACGAGTTGTATTAGTGTTAATTAACTCACCATTGCACTTGTGTAAAAACATGCGGTAATGCCAAATAATTGTAACTGCATCGTTAGGCGCAGTGCAACCAGCGCAAACACTGCATGGATAATTGTATTTTCATAAACATCAATGAAACAATTTCTTGTGTACCGTTTCCGTTACTGCTGTTGTTAGTAAGGTAGGCAACTTGTTTTATTGCTTAAATTCGTTTGTTAATGTTGAATTACTACAATTTGATTGAATTTAATATGGACGCATAATTAAT